ACGTAATTATGGACATTCTAGAACAAGTGCAAGCAATTGGATGGATGTTCAGATATATTATTTTTGGCATAGGCTACCAGTTGTTAATCCTTTCCTCCATCTCATGAAACCTCGTACAGTCGTAACTCTTCGGTCTTCGCGCCAGAGAACAGAACCCATAGTGGCCGCGCTACTCATTCAGCAGCGGAAACCTGTCCAGCTGAAACATCAGGACGAGCCATGTTCCGTTGCGCCCGTGCGCTGGTGGCTTCAGAGCTTGAATCCACCGTTGGCTTGGGACCATAAGCTTGAATGAGGGAGTCCGACAGAGGTCTACTGTCGGATAGTGTGATTAGAGTAGATCCGCGGGAGATATCCTCATACGTGTACAAATGAATGGCCATTGAGATTGTATCGTATCTCATTTACCAGCCTGGCCACTAGGCGCCACCCAAGATACCAGAGATCTTCAGAGCCACGTCCAAAATTGACAGATGTTCATCTGCACCGTCGACCAAGCGCTTATCCATCTCGGAGAAAACCATGACTATCTTGTTCTTCTGAATATCAGGGATGGCATCATTGTAAACAACTCGGCGGTAAAGCTTGTCCGTTGTCAGCATCGCGCATTATCGAAAAGCTCATATCAGAACATACCTGTGCAAGCAATTGCGTCGCACTCCACCCATCCGCAACAATATCCGTAGTTACCTTCGAGACGGCCTCGTAGGAAGAACCGATCTTCTTTGGTTGCATAGCTTGAACCAACTGATCTAGAACACTCTCTGGGATCACACCAGCAATCTCCTCTACCATCCTCACAGTAATTACCTGTGAGCTAGCATCTGTCATCTCAGCGTCCTCCCCTCCATCCTGTTTGCCGCTATTTCCAGTGGCTCCCACCAGCCTAGCTCCACTTTGCATGTATGTGATTGCGCGTCGCAAGTCACCATCACTGCACTGAATCAATTTGTCAACGACACCATTCTCCAATTCCAGGTTCTCTACTTTCGCAATCTGTGCAAGTCTGTCGCCCGCAGCCGAGTTATCCAGCGGTTTGAAACGGAACTTGCTGCATCGACTGGCCAGCGGTTCAATGATTCGGGTAACGTAATTGCAAACAAGACAGAAACGTGTGATTTTACTATAGGTTTCCATTGTGCGTCGAAGAGCAGATTGAGCATCCTGAGTCATGCTATCTGCTTCATCAAGGATTATGATCTTGAACGGTGGGCATGGGTATTTCTCGAAGTATGACTTGTCGACCCCTGTAGGGTGACTGAGTTGTACTCTAGCAAAGCCCTTGACCTTTTCACGTACAATGCCAATACCACGTTCGTCCGAAGCGTTCAATTCGAGGATACGTGAACGATACAGAGCAGGACCAAATAGGGACTTCGCGAGGGCGAGAATTGTTGATGTCTTTCCGGTACCGGGAGGGCCATAGAAGAGCATATGAGGCAACTATTTTTATTTCCAGTTATGTTAATGGTTGATTGGTTTGTCTCAAGTAGGGCTCTTAACACACGTTGGAGGCTTGTAATGTTCGTTGGAGAACGTTTGTTGTATGGTCCTGAGCTGCGACATCATCTAGCGTTTTTGGACGGCTGAAAGAGATTGTTAACCATATGTCTCTGCCAGGTCCGATTTGGAACAGTACGTACTATTTTTCGACCCATGGCTGTTGCTGCGCATGTTCCTCTTTTCCATCTGCCGGCTTCTGCTTCGAACTGCTTGATGCTGCGGCCGCAGCACGGGCTTTATTGTTGAAAAAGTTGGCAGCCATGATATTTCATCCAGAGGCGAAGACCGGATTTGTAGGAATTGAATCCAATTTTGCCAATTTGGTTGTTACCGATTATACCAGTCTCTCCAGTAAAGCTCCCTGGAAATGACGGAGGACAAGCGTGTTCGAACGCGTCCCCACGTGATACGCGATTTATTGATGCCAAGACATTTATTGCTTTGACCAGAGGAAGTACAATGTGGATCTATATATGAAGCATTAGAAGTAGACGACAACTCAATGCTTCTTCCTATTTTTCTTGAGAATTGCGCTCCCCAGGCAGAGTAGAACGATAACGATGTTCAATTATCACTGTACATATGTGGCATTGATGTTATCGTGATCACTGATTACTATTTGTATTTTTTTTTGGCTAATTTACTTATAGCTCATCTTTCCTGTTTTCTAGTACTTCGGTAGCCTCATACATCCTCTTCTTCGTATTTTGAGGGAGTTCCGCTTGCCTCTGTTTCTCTTCTGGTGAAATATCATCAATGTTAGTCTCATCAATCTCCTCTTCTTGTTGTTCGGTCAATTCTGTTGGCTCCTCTTTAGATCCCATGTCATTGTCCTCAACCATGTTACCGATATGATCAATCATGCGGTCTTCTTTTGCCTCCGCAACGGGAGGTATGTCCCAGATAGCTTGGCCGTCGGCAGTTTGAACATTTGCCTCGGCCTCAAGAGTCGGAAGCGTCACCTCCTGGGCTAAGCTTTCGCTAGGAACAGCAGACGGGGAAGGCTGAACGGCTTTGCTGGATAGACCAACCGCGCCCAATATTGTGAATACGAACTTCGCTGCTAACCTAACCGGCAACCATACAAGCCACCACATAGGTCCGTATAATATCCGGCGAAACAAAAGCCATACAATGGTGCCAATTAGAATGTAGAACGCAGTTTCAAGATACCATGTGTCGGACTTTTGCGAGCGAAGCAGCGAGCCAACAAGGTTCCGTGACGAGGATAGAAGAGTATCAAGGCTTGTATAAGATTCTGATAGCGATGAAAGCGCAGCGGTCGATTGTTCTGTAATGCAAATTAGTCAGAGCCAGAGGTATCAGCAGAGGAGGAAACAGACCTAGTGTCTCTTGTGCAAATTGACTCCTAGATAACTCTGCCTGCATCAGATGATGCGTTCTCCGCAATGCCGCGGTGACATCACTTGAGGTATTGAGCAAAACATCATCTTGTGTTAATTTCTCAGTCGACTCTCTCTTCCTTTCAGCGCTTTGAGATCTCGAAAATAGCAACTCCCTTTCTTTGCGCTTGGCGATTTCCGCATTCCTCTTCGCTTGTAATTGAGCATTTCGGAAGTCTCCTCTCGTTCTGTCATGAATCCATTAGTTTCGCGGAGAAAAGGATACCAGTCGTACATGTCGCACAGCACAGGCAATGCGATATAGTCCACTTACTTTTTCAAATCTTCCGCCAATCTCCCTGCCAAAGCAACAACCCTTTCCCGTTCTAGCTCCTTCTCATTATCCACTCCTTTCCGTCTGCCTTCTGGGGCAGTTTCTAATGCTTCAACATCAACCCTCAAAACCTCCAATTGTATCTCTGTCTCTTTCAACAGACTATGGATCTCTGCCCCTAATTCTAATCGAGCTTCATCGCCTTGCCCAACGGCGGTCGTAAAGTTCCGCAATCGGGACACGAGAGGGTGAATCTGCGCCAACGATGTCGAGAGCTCTTTTAGGCGAGCTTGAAGGGCGGATATAAAAGACATATTCAAGGTAGCATGCAGAGCGATGTTGTGAACATTCAGTGATGTCGGATAAGGTTGGTATCACGAATCGAAAGGCGGTTCTCTGGCGTGTCAAACTTGCATATAATCGTATTAATTTCAACCAGTTCTCTAGTGACCTGCGCCAGCTTCGGTAATAAGTGGTTCACAAATAAACAAATGTTATGCCAGCAGTAGAAGACACAATTCCATCAATACGGCCAATCTGGCCGCAGCGTCATCGGTCCAGGAACAATTAACTATATCCAAAATAGAAGGCGGTATCAATATAGAAAGGCGGTCTATGGCGTCGCGCTGATCAGCCCTCGTGAATCCCGACCGTGGAATAAGGCTTCGTTCGCTGGTGTAGTTTGATAATTGTATCTCTACAGTAAATAGGCTTTTCCAATCGATAAATAACTTAATAAGAGGTAAATATGTAAAAATTCTAACGCAATTTTAATTTTCGAACAAAGTCATTTGTCGCTGGGTATAGCGTGTAAACTCTGAACCATACAAAAGATACACAATTCAGTGAGGCAATTAATAGAGTGTTCAAATTATTCTGCCAGATAATTCTACAGTAGAGAACCGCATCCAATCAATGTTTGCATCTCCGTCAAACACAGAACATTCCTCTGCTTCCCGACGCCTGGAGAAAGTCGAGGTAATTTTCTCGGGTTTGATATACAACCGGAATTACGGCGTTAATCCCCATCATTGACGTTGCAAATTGAAGATATCCACAACATTGAATCCCTTACTGTCAAGGCTACATTCAGAAGCCAAAGCCGCGCGCAAAAGTCAGTCATCCGACCAATCAATTTTAGGACACCCAACTGATTTGATCCAACAGACATCCAATTACTCAAGCTCTCCGACCCAACAAGATCGGGTCCAATTCTTCAAGATGACTATTCCTGTCCAAACGATCACCTCCCTCCGCACAAGCTTCAACCCTTTCTCTAAATCCGCCCGCCCCTGCAGGCTTCTACTTGCTATCCTTCGCAATCCCAATACCGCCCCGGCATCCAGCCCTACGCACATCGATATCAAGGTTAAACAGCTCCCGCGTGTCTCGACACAACAGCCCGAGGTAACGGTGGGCTTCAAGGGAGGAAAGGAACTCAAGATCGAGGTCGGAAAGCGCCAGCTGAAGATCGGCGATGTCATTGAGGAAATTGCGCGTGTGGGACGGGCTATCGAACGAGAGGAGAGCTTGAAGGGTTAACTGAATTTCTTGTACGCAAATCCGTTGTTATTATCGTGGTTGATTTTAGGGTCCGCCTATGGCGCTTGGAGATCGGGACTATTGTACTTTTACGTCGCAGATGCGAAGCGGTTGAGTTACCGGGGAAGCTCATCGAAAGCATTATGATACCGTTACTTTGTGTATATACTACCTAGCCATCGAGGGATACTGCATTTTGAGATGTGTTTGTCTGCATTATCTAATGTCTCCATTTTGCAGAATGCATGGTTTGAAAGTCAAATCTACGAACTATGAAACAACATCACAAGCACGTTCTTTGAAGCTTAGTGGAGGTTGTAAAGTAATGCGAACAAGACAAACAACAAAAACAATGGAAGATCAAGTGAAATTACGTGGACTCGCCTATGGGCTGGATCCAAAATTGTGGGACTTTTATTTACTTTAGTTGGTATCAATTTACACAGCAGCACCGGAGATGAAGAACCACTTGTCAACGCTGCCATCAATAGGGGCAGGGGGGAGGTCCTCGCCCCGAGGGATGTTGGCAAGCTCGTCGGGCTTAGCATGGTCGGGGGAGTTCGCAACGGTGACGTTCTTGCTATAGAATATGGTCAACATAGCTAGCCTTCTCATGGAGGAGAATGTATACTTACATGCTGATGTCGCCCTTGGGAGACTTGCCAGTCATGAGCTTCTCCCAAGCATCAGCACACTCACGGATAACCTCGAGAGCGTATCTGATACGAGTGTTAGACATCATACAGAATTTAGAATGACAAGGGGTATCAAGCATACTTCTTGTTCTTGCACTCGCCGGAGAAAGCGAACTGGTTCTCGGGCTTGCCGTCGGGGATTTTGTAGATACGGAACCACTCGTTGGTGGCGCGGAGGAGGCCAGGCAGGTGGCGCTCAACATCCTCAACGTCGTTCAGCTTAGAAGCCAGAGGATCCTTGATGTCGATGACAATGACCTTCCAGTCGGTCTCTTCCTCGTCAAGCAGGGCCATCACACCAAGGACCTTGACCTGCTTGACCTGACCGGGGTAGCCAACAAGCTCACCGATCTCGCAGACATCGAGAGGGTCGTTGTCACCCTTAGCCTTGGTCTCAGGGTGGACAGTGTTGGGGTCCTCCCAGGTCTAAAGCAAACCGTTAACAGGCCGAATTATGTGGCATCTGTAGCAATGCGAAACATACCTGAGGGAAGGCACCATAGTTCCAGAGGTAACCCTTGTGGGGGAAGCAGTTACGCACGTAACGGAGCTTGCCCTTCTTGACATCCTGCTTGATGGGGTTGAGGAACTCCTCCTTGGAGATCTTCACACGTAATCAGCGTCGGTACTTTGCGATATTGAGTGGTTCCGCCCCCATACCTCCTGCTTGGCGTTGGTCCAGCGGGGGATCTCAACGACCATGTTAAGGATAGTCTGCTCCTCGTTGGCGTAGAGAGGGATATCGTGGAAGGGAGAGACGGGCTGGCCATCCTTCTCAATGTAGACACGGTGCTCCAGGGTGTTGGCCTGGGCGATCTTGCGAACGGTGTAAGGCATGGTGGGCGACTGCGGCGGGGTAGCGGATGAAGAAAAGTGTCGAGAAATTAAAGCAGCACGAGTTGTTACGGACGAAGCCGAATGAGCAACTCGGGGGGGAGGAGAGAAGGGTGAAGTAGACAAAACGGCAGATGAAGGAGAGGAAGAAGAAGAAGAAGAGAGGAGGGAGGAGGGAGAGGAAGAGGAAGGAGGGGTGGCTTGTTTAGTGGGGGGAGCCAACGTTGCGGATGTGCGTGATACGCGGGCGACAATCGGAGAGGCGGTGGACAATCGGTTTAATGGAGCTGTGCGCAGTCTTGGAACGAGACTGGTGGATGACGACCCCAGGAACATTGGTTGCGGGAAAAAGAAGCTGCAAGAACCCGTCTCTGTCGGTTCAATTGGAAGTTTAAATACCGGTAGTTTTGCTGTACAATCGCAGTTCTATGCTCGGCTTGTCTTGTGAAGATTTAAAGGAGAGGGAATTTGTCGGGAAGAAAATCGGTGCCGGGACGCCATTCCGAGGTTCGTTGCTATGTTTGTTGCCAAGCGGGTCATGATTATTCAACTATATAAATAATCTTCGCTATCTATATACAACTATATACTTTAGAGATTCTTCGCTTTACAGTCAATCGCTATTTTGGTGGATTCGTACACATGAGTAACCCATATAGACTAGTTCTCTCTCTATAAAAATCATGATGTGGCAAAAAGGGGAGTGAGAAGAGGAAACCTGGTCAATTCCATTGTCAATGGCCGTCCCGGTGAATCAATCCTATGGACTTGCTCCACTATACTGGTCCCGCTCCCACTCTTGGTTGCTGGGTTGCTGGGTTGCCTCTGAGAGAGTCCAGGGCTGTCTTATCCAACAAATTCAGCCTCACTTGGTATGAACATCCAATAATCGAATCATACTCTTCGTCTCACACGGAGTGGGACCTCAAATCTAAAGTACAAAGAATCAGAGTTTAGGGTTTTTGGGCGCTGGTGCCTGAACGCCTGAAATGGCGCCATCAGCAGGGCTGTCACGTGTGTGGTTCCCTTCGTATTCTTCTTGTCAGACACTAGGATAATGTGCCAATGCACTAGTGTGATTGACTTTTCAATGGGAAGATTGGAGTTTCACAGATAATAGCTGGAAAATAGAAATGTTTGAATAGATCACTAAGATGTATACCAATCCCTTCTACATCGTAGACGTGATTACTGTACTCTGTACTCGGCCCCTATTTACTTGGCAGGTACCGCCCGGGAATATGCAATACCCGTCACAATACCCGGAGTGAAAAGAATGCACAGGAAATTTTTAACTTATCGTCTATCTTCACGTGATATTGACTTTTTCTCTCCGCCTTCCCAGGATAAACTACTCCCCATGACTAACTATACCATCGCCCCACGAAGTCGATATCTTGACCGTCTGAGTCAACCAGGGCGAGACAGACAAGTCTATTACAGATCACTTTACCTTTGAAGTATGCTATGCTTAGATTTCTCCGCTCCGCAATGACTTCACTCACCACACCACCTCGCGTTCCTATCCCCGCGAACGGGGTTGACTATCGTGGCAAAATAGTCCTTGCGCCGATGGTCCGATCAGGAGAATTACCTTCTCGCCTTACAGCCCTTAAATATGGTGCAGATCTGGTCTGGGGTCCCGAAACGATTGATCGCGCGCTCGCCGGCGCCTCTCGCCGCGTGAACCCTCGCAACGGATGCATCGAATATACGAGGCTGCCGTCGAACGGAGGTCGCACGGAAGCAGCATCACAGGAATCGGTTATTTATCGCCTTGATCCGGTGCGAGAGAAAGGGAAACTCATCTTCCAACTCGGTACAGCCTCGCCCGAGCTCGCTGTGGAAGCCGCCAAGATGGTCGCTGGTGATGTTGCTGGTATCGATGTGAACTCCGGATGTCCGAAACCATTCAGTACAAGCGGCGGCATGGGTGCGGCGTTGTTACGGACACCTGATAAACTGGTTTCAATTCTGGAGGCGCTTGTCCGCGAGGTTGGCAATCCATATCAAATCGGTATCTCCGTGAAGATCCGCATCCTTGAGAAGTCGGAGATTACAGAGGCGTTGGTCTCACGGCTCGTCAAGACGGGCATTACAGGCTTGACGGTCCATTGTCGAACACCGGCCATGCGTCCTCGCGAACGGGCAATCCGCGACCAGCTACGTATGATCCGCGACATCTGCCATAACGCTGGTGTCGCATGCCTCATGAACGGCGATGTGACCTCCCGTGACCAGGCGCTGGCTTTGATGGAAGAGTTCGGTGTAGATGGAGCAATGATTGCAACATCCGCCGAGGCTAATCCTTCCTGTTTCCGAAGCGAAGCAGATGGGGGTTTGCTTCCTTTCAGAGACGTCGTTCACGCTTACCTAAAGTTCTGTATCGAGTCCGAGAATCGTTTCGGTAACACCAAGTATCTACTGAATGTCATGATCCCGGGCAAGAACAAAGAGTTCCAGGACGCAAAGGGTTCCAAGAACTATGCTGATTTCTGCCACATGCTGAGGTTCGACGATCTCATGCCAGCTGCGCTCCAAGTCGATGAACTTCTAAACCTCACGGGAAAATCAGCTTTTTTCAAGGAAGAGACAAGGAACAAAGTTGTCCAAAACGCCATTGAGAATAACGAAACTGCTCGAGCAGCCGGTGGTGCTTCAAGGCCGAAATCCACGTCCCCCGCCACCAGCGGTGTGGGACCAATTCGTACTAGCTCCATCCCTGCCCCTACGAAATCGAAGCCTAAGGAGAACGAGACGAATCCCGAAATCCCTGAATCAGCTTCTCAGGCATGCCAGAAACAGGAAGTCGCCGCATGAGCTCGGGACAGGCTCTTCTATCAAACTCAGTTTCATAATGATTAAAAGTCCCTACTATTGTTCCCTCTTCCCTCCGCTTATCTGCGCCTCACCTTTTCTACCTTTGTTGTTGTCTTGATCGCATTATATGGTGTTGAATTATCGGAATATTCTTTGGTGTTCATAGTTATAGATTCCCTTGGTGTGGTAAAATCCAGTCGGTTGAAGACTTCTGAATTTCAACGGTACATACACGAATATATCAAAATCATGGATGTCATCATACTATTCTGATATATTAAAATTCCCACCCCTACCATTCCCAAGTCAATCGTATCGTACATGTCTGAAATGAATGACGTTGCCAACGAGGTAATAGAATCAATCAGATCATTCTCTTTGATCTATTAGTGCTCATAATGTAAAAAGCTCTATAAATAGCCAGTTCTTACTCCGTCTCTATAAGCAGAAAAGCATCAGGAAAAGCGAAAAGATCAAAAGAAAGAGGCCGTTAGGTCAAAACAGCCAACACAGCCCCAAGATGTTGCTAACTCCATTGTGACACGACAGATGCGTCCAAACAGGATCGGATACAACCAAGATATTGAGTGCGAACCATGACAAGTAAAAGCACGGTCTGATATCATCACACTCAAGAAGGCAAGTTGTATCCCATGACAATGTGCAGACAAGTAAAATCGCTAATACAACGGCGATGCAAACAGAGGTTCAGCAAAAAGTACAGTCGAGCATGATAAATCAGGAAAGAAAACGAAATGCAATCGGCTCAGGCCCTGGATGGAATCTTCAGAATGTTTGTGGCGCGTGTCCAAACGTCCTCGAATTTGTGGGGGAAGGACACGCTCTCATGAGGAGTTCTGTTTCTCTCCACTTGAACCGGCAATGAGCATGTCCTCTACTGCTTTCATACCTGCTTCTTCACTCTTCTTCAACTCGGCAGCATCCTCGCCTGCTACGGCTTGATCGAGAGCCAGTTTCGTCTGTCCGAGCGCATAGATCTGTTCTTCGATTGTGTCCTTGGTAACAAGTCGGATGACTTCCACCTCGCGCGTTTGACCCACACGATGGGCGCGGTTCTCGGCCTGTACATCCTCCTGGGGGTTGAAGCTCGAGTCGAAGATCACTACTTTGTTGGCACAGGCCAAGTTGATACCTGCACCACCGGCTTTTGTGGAGAGGAGAAACACAGGAATCTCTGTCCGTTCATGGAAAGCATCGAGAATAGACTGTCGATCCTCGACGTTCGTACGGCCATCAAGTCTAACGAAGCCAAGGTGCTGGTTTTCAAGAACGTGTTCAAGAATATCCATGACCATAGTGAATTGGGAGAAGATCAGAGTGCGATCACCGTTTTCCTTGAATCGCTTCAGCAGTTCACAAAGTTTATCGATTTTACCCGAGTCCATCCATTCATCGTTTTTCAGCGCAAACTTCCCAAGCGATTTGGGGTAATTCACACACATAGTATGACATTCGAAGTCATTATATGCCTGTAGCTCTTCGAAAATGATGTCTGGGTTTGACAGGGACCATTGCTCTTCTTTGAGGCAAGCTTTCGCCATGCGGCTCAAAGTAGTGTCCTTGTAGTGACGCCTGTAAAGCAATGGATGGATAGCTGCTTGGCGTAGCTTCATCAGGATATTTGCAGACTTGTTGCCTGTCTTCTTTCCAGCTGCTCGGTCGGCTAACAGCTGACGGACCTCTTCTTGCTCATGTTCGTAAATTTCCCTCTGAGACTCGTTTAATTCACAATATTCAACTTTAGAAATCTTGGGGGGCAAATCAATGACCTGGTGTTTCTTCCGTCGCAGTACAAAAGGCTTAAGCATCGATTTTGCTCTTTCGATGCGTTGCGCTGAAAGCAAGGCAGAGTGGGATTCATCCACGGTCTTCGCCTTGTTTGCAAAGATATTCTGAAGCTCTTCCTTGCGCTCCTGGAAAACCTTCGGAAGGATAAAGCCCAGCAGAGAGGCAAGTTCTTGGAGATTGTTTTGGAGTGGTGTACCTGTTAAAAGAAGCCTGAAGCGAGCCCGAATTCTGATCAGTTTCTCATAGAGGACAGACGTAGAACTCTTGAGCATATGTCCCTCGTCATACACACAAACCGTAAAGTCCATGTTGCGCAGAAAGTGTGCATCAACCTTGGCTTTGGCAATGGTATACGTAGTGACAATAACGTTGATGCTATCCCTGTTGTCCTCGATCGTTTCTCGAATCACTGCCCGCTCAGCCTGGCCAGCGTAGTATGGCATAACAGAGAGAGTTGGGCAGAACTTCTGAAACTCTCTGAGCCAGTTTTCGATAGTGGATGAAGGCACGACGATGAGGTGCGGCCCCTTGATGCCCTTCTCATACAGATGGGCCAAAAACGCAATGACCTGGCAAGTCTTCCCAAGACCCATATCGTCCGCCAGGATACAGCTCAATTCTTTCTCGAAGAGCAATGACAACCAATTAATTCCGACGATTTGATAATCTTTCATCTTCAAGTCTTCGCGCATAATACCAGGCTGGGATATGAATCGGCTTTTACGGGAGCCAGTCGCAGGGCCATCACTATCATCCTCTGAACGCTGACTGGCAGGAGTACCGATGCCAGAATCATGCGATGCCCCGGGGTTGATCGATGTCAGCTCCAATTCCCCATCACGCTTTCCAAAAATATCAACACCCCATTTCTTCATTTCCGAAGCAATCGGCTTTCCAAGCGCCTCACATTTTGCCACCAACGAATCAACAGCTTCGTACCCAACCCACATATCCATGCATTTATCCACAATTTTATCACCAATTGGCTTGGGCGTTTTACGCCCCCGACTACCCTTTGGCTTCGCGGTTTGTTCCGTCGTAGGCGCTGTGACGACGCGTACTTCATCCAAAGATGCAAAAGGTCGGTTGGAGATTATGACATTCGCAACATCTTCGGTGATTGCGGCAATGTCTGCAAGGTCAAGGACATTGCATGTATTGAAGAACCTGAGAACCTTGGTTTCCAATGGGCTCTCACCCTCCGGCATGGCTTCTACACCAGAATCTGAGTCATCGGACATGGACGCCTCGGGTTCTGAAGGTTCGGGTGATGGGTGCTTGCGCCCTTGAACAAGTCGGCCGGGCTTCTTTTTCGGAGGGGATTCTGAGCGATCTGGACTCGGGGAAGACACACGGGTCTTTGGCCCCCTGATTAAGCGTCTCCTTGGTTTGGATTCTTCGTCGGATGGTTGTGTAGGTGGCTTCGGGGTGCTGCGATTGTCCAGGCGCATCGCAGCCCACTTATTCTGAATAGTTCCTCGAGCTTTGATCTGCTGCTTTGCCGGCGCAACGGGGGAGGCTCTTTTATTTAAAGCCAATTCATCGTCCGACAAGTCGGCTCTTCCATCTGCTTCCTCTTCAACCATGCTAGCCAGATAATCCAAAGCGTCGTCGTAATTTCCACGCTTCGTTAAAAGAGCATGCATGCAAGCTTTAACGGATTTTTGAGGTATCACTCTTTGCATCTTCTCTACCTTGGCCCTGAGCTGATAGTCTTCAATATCCTGTAAAGATGATATATTCAGCTCCACAGGCTGCGCGCGGGAGGGCCCATCCTGCCGAGGTTTCTTGACCGCAGTCCCTTTTGGCACAGGGTCCATTTGAGCTGCCGGACGTTTTGCGCTCGAGGGATTATAGACTGCAGACGCAGTAATCTCTTTGAATCGGTCGAGAGAAGAATTATTTGCGCCTCCCGGTGAGTCTAGAACTTTTTCGGGATTCCGCGAAGATTTGGCAAACAAAGACGGCTTGATGTCAGTGCTGCTTATCATTTGAACGTCGTCATCGTCCGAAGACCCTCCACGATACGTTGGACCGTCATCCTCAAGATCTATTACCGGCGCACGCTTCGCAGGGCCTACCGCTGGGGCGCGGAACTGGGTGCCGCTGGGCGCCATTGCGCTGGCAAGGCGACCGCCGGGCAAGGCAGGACGAGAAGGAGACGATGTAGGACCGGGCGGGGAAGATGCAGCAACTTGAATGACAGAATTGCCCTTCGCAGAATAAGGAGGCTCTATGATCTGTGTTGGTTGTGTTAGACGTTGGGTCGCCGGAGTCAGCGATTGGGTTGCCGGTTGTTGAAAGTTTGGCAGCGGGACAGTGGCGACAGTCTCATATCCTTCCTCCTCTTTCCCAGGCGGCGTATTGTGAATGATTTTTTTGTCGCTAACCGGGGTATCGGGAACTGAGTCGTCCATGGTTAATAGGTCTTGTCCGATATTGGTGAATTAAGTTGAGGCCCGGCCACTGCGACAGGAAGGCAGCTTCGCTGAAACGACCGGGGAGAAAGTTCCTTCTTTTCCCCAACCTTGAACTTTTCCTCAAATTAAGTTAGAAAAAGGGCTTTTTTTCTCCGCATAAAACGCGCTCAGACGCGCCCGCGGTCACGTGGGCTGGCGCTTCAATTAAAGACTGACCAGGAAATCCAGCAACATCTCCAAATTGTATACATGGAGCGAGGTAAACAATTTTTGAAAAGAAAGTCGCTTACCATATACTGTATATCCCTTTACCTGAATTGAAAGTGATCCATAAGTAGAATCTCTTGGTGTTGAAAGGATGTTGCAGCTTTTCGATAATCGGAGGCTTCCAATGGCCACGGACCAATGAGAGATGCGCGTACAATGACCTCACCTGAATCACGTCCGTCTGGATCGAGTAAATCAATGATTCTATAGACAATCCTTCTTTAGTCTTTGGATACTAAGAACTGATTATAAATATAATCACAGGGCTCAGAAATCAACTTGGCCTCAAATTGATTAGCTTTCTACGTGCAGTTGAACTTCCTCCCTTTGCTCCCAGCCCCCCAGGGTAACATCATAGCTGTTCGGTCCACGCACTTAGTATCAACCTAACACCTTTTGCTATCCAAAATGGCCACCCGTCGTCCTCAGGGTAAATCATATGCAGAAGCGGTCGCTTCTCCTGCGCCAGAGAAGACATCTGATTCCGATGTTACCCCTGCAGTTCCCACGTAAGAGTTTTTCTCCGTCTGGTTTCCATCCTATATCTGCATTCATGCCACATGGCCGATGCGCGGCGTTGAGCCCGATAGACATGTAGTGTCTTGTGCGAGCCAAGGCGTGCCGCCGCTGAGAGTGCCCCACCGATGAATTGTCACAGATACTGATCCCTCGTTACAGGAATGTCATCTTCAAACTGCTAGGGTTTTCCGCGGCGATGGTCTCCCTGCCCATTGGCATGTACTTTGTTGCAGTGAAGTTTGGCGGTAAGCTCCTTTGCCCCTTGGCCTCTTTGTTTACTTCTTTCTTCCATAATATCGGTGTACCCTTGAGGGATAATTACTAACATCAGGTAGCGAGTCCAACTGTCGCCGGCATTATTGCGGCTGTTACGGCTAACATTGTCTTGTTTACGTATGTCTTTGTTGCATGGCAGGATGATCGCCTGGAGAGAGAAGCCTTGACAAAAAAGAAAGAAAAGAAGGCGCAATGAGAGGCCTGGGGTCTCTAGCGGGATTACCAATCGGTTTACGTTTATGCGTTGGTATTTGTACTTACTATGCGGCGTTCACGGAAAGCTGTGTTGTAGTTCTACTTCGGTTTGGTCCAAGGATGATAACTCGTGTGGACTTTGAGAATATCAGTTGAATATCTGAGATTCCTTCACCATTCACCTAAATCCATGAATGTGAAACACGCCCACAAGGGTGCTGCAGGCCGTTAAGATGTCCCTTTTCAGACCCTTGTGGATGCCGATAGTTCCAGTATTACAACCAGCCCATGTTGAAAAAGCCGCGCCTGGAAATGCACTGACAGATTTATATAAACAAGTTGAACCCGAGCAGAAGAAGAGGGGGAAAATTAAATAAAAAGAAGGAGACGAATATGTTAAGATCCAACTTATGGCCTCCTCTTCACGAACTCCTCCAGGTCACCCTTCGTCACCACTCCGAGCACAAATTTCCGCGATGCATCTGTTACAACGGCAAACTCTTGTTTCGCTCGCTTCTCGCCATTGGGACCGGTTTCACTGTCGAAGAATTGCTCTAATTCCTCCAAGGGAGTCTCCATTGTGATTACCTGGTATAAGCCCCGTTTCCGGTTAAACCGCTGCATGGCGGTAGACACGGAGTCTGATTCTTTGATAGTTCCTTCTTTCAAGAGTTGCTTGAGCCGGGGAATGCTGAGGTAGCCAAGTAGGGATCGTTTCGTAGAAGAGGTGACGGTTAAATGAGTGAAATCACGTTCGTAGGCTGCGAGCATGGCAGAGGAGATTAAGTCGCTAGGGGAGACTGACAGTGCCGGAGGGGGGTCCAGATCTTCGACAGTAGCCTTGAATTTCATGTCAGTAATGACAATGGGTCAGACGTGGAATGCCATCATAGAGTGGTAACTAACCCCTCGGTACTTGTCTGCCCACGATGACGGGGAAGTGGACTGCTCCACAGTGGAAGAGAGCTTTTCGCGGGCAAATGCCTCGCTGCCGGTCGAATAGGAAGCCATATCCACCGAGTGATTCACAGGAGGGGCGGCAGAAGTGATTTAGGAGGGGTACGAGGAGGGGCCAACTTTGATGTTCAATTGGCGATACCAACGGCTTCAAATCGAAAACCAAGTATTACAGGGTAAATTCGGAGAAACACGGCTGTGCGAACACTAAGAGCAAAGGATACGAGGTAAGGAGGCCGGTTCGTGTTTAACAATATCGCAGGTGAGGTCTGTTCCAATGGACGATAAATTTATCTATTGCGGCCCATGAGCCTTAGTTTCCGCCCTCTTAAGCGGATTGGGTTTGGCGTCAACCAGAAGTGGGTGTCACGATACCATTCGACGTCATTGCCGGCCGCTGCCGCAGTGTCAGATTCTCTCCCCCTTTCGATTATTTGGCTTGAGTCACTTTTCAATTTACTATTTAGACTGCCATACTGCTCCTTTAATATTTCTGAAGGAATATAAGGTCACTAGTTCGAGTAATTCGGACACGAACTATTTTGTACTCATTGAGATACCAGTTGCCCTACAAGTGGGGACGATCTTCTTTATAGATATACAACCACCAGTACGTGCGGTTGGTCCTGTGGGGACCCCCCAACTTACAATAAACCCAATAATTTGACACGGCTCAACTAGGAAATTCCTCGCCAAGATGTTTCCCTCTGAAGACATCATTAGCAGCACGTTTTCCTCACAGCACCCTCTGAACCAATCCGGAAAGCAGTCGCGGCTTTCGAGAGCCCCGGGAACAAGAGGACGGGAGCCGTTTCCAGCATGGAGTGTGATCGATGATACCAAAAGCAAGGCAGATGCTTTTGCAAAGGAGGCGTCACGCGAGTTCAATGTTGTAAGCCAAAAGGCTCAGGCCAAAACCGGCAAAATCGAACCGTGGACTCCCAAGTATTATGCAGCCTGCACAGTCGGCGGACTTCTTGCTTGCGTAGGTTATCCCTTGTATAATAGGATGATAGTCACTGTATTCGCCGTTCCAACCTTCTGATTATGGATAGGGTCTTACCCACACTGCCGTGACGCCGCTGGATCTCATCAAATGCCGACGCCAGGTTGACCCCCAGCTTTATAAAAGCAACTTAGAGGCATTTCGTACGATTCGCGCCGCAGAGGGCTTCAGAGGAGTAATTACTGGCTGGGGACCTACCTTCTTTGGATACAGCGTACGCTGGTGATGCAATTACTGACATTTAGTAAACGGAGCTAACGAACAGAATAAAGGCCCAAGGAGCGTTCAAATACGGTGGCTATGAGTTTTTCAAGAAATTCTACAGCGACCTTGTTGGGGTGGAGAATGCAAATCGCTGGAAGACGTCCTTGTATCTCACAGCTAGTGCATCTGCAGAGCTTATTGCTGATGTAGCACTCTGTCCCTTCGAGGCCGTCAAGGTGCGCATGCAGACAACAATCCCACCTGATATCCGATCGACTTTCACTGGGATTTCCAACGTCGTTTCTAAGGAAGGGGTGGCTGGGTAAGCACTCAGTTATACGTTGCAGTTACAGCTGGACCACACTGACTTTGAATAGACTTTACAAGGGTCTATATCCGCTGTGGGGTCGGCAGATTCCGTACACCATGATGAAGTTTGCTTCATTCGAGACCATAGTGGAGATGATCTACAATTACCTACCGGGTCAGAAGTCTGATTATAATAAAGGCGCACAGACTGGGGTGGCCTTCACTGGTGGCTACTTGGCTGGTATTCTTTGCGCTGTTGTGTCCCATCCCGCCGATGTGATGGTGAGTAAATTGAATGCAAACAGACAGCCTGGCGAAGCCTTTGGTGCTGCAATGGGCCGGATCTACAAGGAAATTGGCTTCGCTGGCCTGTGGAATGGTCTTCCCGTCAGAATTGTCATGATCGGAACTCTGGTAAGTCAACAACAGACCTTGTTGAGGTATCCGCTAATCAAAGGGATTCGTAGACCGGTTTGCAATGGATGATGTATGTATCCCTTGACGCTCAATGTACTATTTGGGAAATTGACTACTGACACCCGCCAGTTACGATTCATTCAAGATCTTCATGGGTCTTCCCACCACCGGTGGAGGACCTGCCGCCGAACAGAAGAAGTAGAAGCGATTGGTGATATCTAGCCTACTACAAGCAGTATGTGCCTTGTTATCGTAGGAATGTAGTGAGGGAAGACTGTCATTCCGGTGTTTATAGCTGCGTAGTGATCATGAATGTGAACGTTTTACTATTAGTATTCCAATATCACCTGCCAAGACCACACCTTATCCACGGGACGGGGTTTATCAACGATCGTTAGTCACGGATTGGACCAATGGCTTGCATCCCAGCCCCGTTATCTTATCATTTATCTGCCCGATTGATGCTTTCGCGCCGACGTCACCGAGTTAGTATATGTCGATTGTGAACCTGATCCCTGATAAACCCCCGGTTTCAATAAAGCTTGAGGGATCTTTCGGGACTTTTCAGGGCCTAGTCCATCTCCTGAGCCTGAGGAACCGCATAAGACCCTCTCGTTGGTTTCTCGTTCCTAAACTCTACCTTAGTTTATCTCTCATCCATTCGGAATACATCTCGAAGGCGCTGACTCCCCACCAGCGCATAGATATAAGTACTGAACTCCTAGCCCGACTTTCGCGCGCAAGCGACTTCTCTCGAAGCCACCGAATAATCCATCCCAGCTCTAGTTGCGGCGCCTACTGACCTACTCCACATCATCAGCTAAACCCCATATCGCCCTTAACACCATGGGCGAACACGAACCTATCGTATCGCACGGCCGCGGAGGTACGTTCTCTTCTTGAATACACTATCAAACCATACCCCTCTCAGCCAACCCGCTCTAACATATCTATCTCCAAACCCCAGGCCAAGGCAACATCGGCGCCGACTCAACACAGTGCGCGCCAATATTCCTCACCCTCCACACTTCCCCAATCTAACAAACATATCACAGATATGTCGACGGCGGTATAGTCCGTGAAGGCGCCTACGGAGACCAAGGCGATGGCGCATACTCCGCCGGCGTAAGTACATACCTTCCCACTCAACCCCAAACCAAACCAACCATCATGGACAACTGACCTCTTATACTCCAATAGCGCGGCGGCGCAGGCAACATCGGCTCTCCCTACGTACGTCCCACAACAGGAACTCCTCACGATGCGGAAATTATTCCCGAGCTGGCGATCCGCAATTCGACCGACGGCGATTATCACACCGGCGTATGTCTTTTCTATAACCCCCTCCCTTCCTTGCGTACATAAGAGCGTGGTCTAATGATGTCAGCGTGGCGGACAAGGAAATGTTCATCTTGACGAGGCGCATAAGAAAAAGGAGGAAGAGAAGAAGCAGCATAAGGCGCTAGCGCATGATGGGTGGGCGGATAAATTGAAGTATAAACTTTTTGGGAAAAAGTGATATTCTTCCGTTCCCCCTTCTTCTTCATCTCCTCCCTCCTTTTGTTAAGGGTGGGTAGGGGATGGGTTTTTCCTTACCAAGTTAGTCGTGCGGTTTGTGTGCGCATTTATGTTAATCTTGATTCCCATGTTTTGTGGTTTTGTTAGTGGTCATTTGTGGCTGAGAGATGTTTATTCCTTGTCGACGCTGAATTCCATTCTATCTTAATGTCCCAGTTCTAGACACTGTCGAACATAGCGAGAAGCTATAGAAGCCTCATTAAGATGCGATTACTGCAGCGTTAAACCCTATTTACAATCATGTAAATTACCGATGTGATCTCTCACATTTGCATATTGATCGACGGATCCGCGTCTGGAATCAGAAGCTGGATTCAAGACAAACGACTCCGATCCTCATTTCATAAGAACAAAATGAATAAATTCACCATTGCTTCCTGTGTATCGTGATCTCGTGAAGTCCATCAACTGCGTCCTTGAAAATAAATATGAACAAAACAGTAAAAAGGGAAAAAAAAAAAAAGGCATAATAACAAGCTAGAAGCTAATTTAAAACAGAAGAAAAAAAGCAAATACACATAAGTTCCTGTACTGTCCCGTTCCGTAGATCCCATTGCTGTACTCAAGAATAAAACGCCAAATAAGTTATTACATCCGTTATGTGAGGTGAGAAAACACGCATTGAACGACAAATATTTTAGGTCGGTTAAAGGGGGAGAGGGCAAAAGTGGAGGGCATGATTTGGACTAGTCCTTGCTGAACCTTCGCTTAAACCAGCTTTTTCGTTTCGTGTCGCTTGCATCGGAGGCGTTCGTAGTTTTGCGTAGATGGCGACGGGTGGTGGGCGCACCTGCGGCTGAGGCTGGTCCACCCACGGGGCCTCCAGCGGTGGGATCGGCGACTGGAGCGGAATTCCCGAGCTTAATTGGTCCAGTTCCAGCTGCACCAGAGGCTAATGTACCGCCATTGTTGAGGTTCGGTTCAGGGCCGAATCCCGCGAACCCATACCTTTCTGCTACTGCTCTCTCCTGTTGCTGTTGTTGCTGCTGCTGAAGTTGTAGCTGGTCGATTGAGCTGTTTACAGAGCTTGGATCGGTTGAATTGTTGGCCCAGGGATCGGTATTGCTTCCCGATCCAGACGCTGCCGTCACGTTTTCGTAGGATTTGTGGTAGCCATTAGGGCCATATCCATTTTGTGCGCCATGGTACTCGGACTCCATGCGGTGCCGACGTGGTCGCCTTCCGCCGCCTTGGTTGTATGGGTAGTAATTCTCAGGGGGCGGCCCGCCGCCATAGTTGCCCTCCATGTAACTCTCCGGTCGGGAATATGTTCCACGTCCGTTGTAGTAGCCATTTTGGTCGTTATAGCCTCGGTGGTGACCGTTGTGTCCTGTTATCGTATTCAAGTCAGCAACGAAGATAAGCGTGGATGTGATGAGCTTATGTGACGCACCGCCGAAATAGCTACTGCGTCTACTATATTCCGCTCCAGGCGTGGATTCATGGTCTAGCTCTCAATTAATATCCTATGAACATATATTTTTCCGAGATCAAACGTACCTGTTCTTGCGTATGATACCGGTCTGCTATTATACGATCCATAGATGGCTGTCTCAAAAGACCGAATTGTATCCAACGGACGCTCAAGTCGAGGACGGGTGGGATTGGAGAGATCGGGGTCGGCTATTCAACGAAAACAGATAATTAGTCCATCGCTCTCCAATAACGAGGCTCCGAATGATTAAGAAAATTGTAAACGAACTTATGATATTCCCGTATTGATCTTTGTGCTGCATCTCCCTTAAAGAGCCGATAGTGGACTTTTCCAAAGCAACCAACACTAAATATGACCTGTCAGTTCGGAAACATGTGCCAAAGTGATCGGAGAAAAAAATATGTCAACAGGGAGGGGTTTCAGAGAAACAAGAATGAAAAAACCGTTGCAATGCGAAACCCCAGCTGATAAGACACAAAATCGAAACATGGGAGCTAAATTTGGTAACATACTTGGTTGCGCCTCGCTCATAGCAACCATGGGGTCGGCTTTGGTATGTAAAGAACGTTTATGTTTCTCCTCAGCAGATTCGGTGAGACGGATTTTATTGCTGCCAGAATTGCTGGACTTGTCTGACCTGCCACCAAAACTGAAACCTCGACTGTGTCTCGGAGGCGCGGGCTGTTGGGGGGACGCCATTTTTAATACTCCCCGTCGTCCTTAGCGCCTGATAACTACCCTAGAACTTGTTTCGTAGCGATCTATCTGCACTATAGTGGCCGTTGTGGAGCGCAACAGCAAGTGGAGTGGAAACCGCCAAGGAATGTCTGATTCAATTGTCGCAGACAGCGACTGTCTCAGTGAATTCCACGAACCCTTGACAAGGGCAGCCAACGAGACGAACGTGTGCAGGCGCGTGGGGGTAAATTTGGATCCGCTCCCTAACCTGACGTCTAGTTTGGCCTTGCTGGAATGGAATATTTATACCCCTCGAGTCCAGAAAATTGAATGCACCAATTTGTTTGTCTCCGTCTACCGTCCCAAGAAAACTAAAAGCAATGCTCAGTTATTGTTGTTGTCGTCGTCGCAACAGAAGGCGTGCAGCGACTGGTGCAGGTTGTCAGATAAAATCTATCAGACGATCGACAATGGATCCTGCAAGATGATCAGACCAGGGAAAGGCAACCGATGGGGTGGTTTGGAGGGGAAACGGACGGTGAGCGATCGACAATGGTAGCGATGGTGACAAGGATGTGTATGGGGAAGACAGCGGTCGTGTATATGGTCGGCAAGCGAAAGTCGGCAGGACGAAAAAAAAAAAAGAGAGAGAGAGAGAGAGACTGAAGTTCACATTCAACTAAGGTTCACCACGAGGACTGTCGAGGCCTTTTTGACTTAACCCAGATTGGGGTTGACGACAGGCGCCACGCAATAAGAGGGGAAAAGCAGCCTTCTGTATGGACAACGGGTTGGAACGTCTCCTATCAGCGTATTCGTTTCCAGGTTCCGCCATAGTTTGGTTTTTGGGTCGGACGATGGCGTTAGTCAAGTCTAAGCGGACTGGCCAGAAGTTGTTCCATCGGTCTATTCTTAGATTGTATATCAAGTAGATCTATACAGCTTATGTGTAGTCAAGTTGATGACCATGACCAGGTTGACCATGCTTCCTGGTGCTTTTATTCTGTCGAAGCATCTTCCAGTCCTCATTCACGCTGAAGAACATCATCCAAGAATTCATTTTCCGGGATGAATTATTAGACTTTCAGGGTCGAGATACCAGTATTTCTTTGATTTTAATTTGCTTGGTACCTCGTGACAGAGGCACCAACCGATTGGACCGCGGGTAAGAAATTTCCCTTTACAGTAGCCCAAGGAAAAAGAATTGAAAAGAAAAAGACTACTAATCAATTTATTTCTAAGAATAAAATTCTGCGTTACCGTTAAATAAAAAAAAATGAAAAGAACAGCAAGTCCAATAGCAAACAAGAGTCAATCTGTGTGCGTTACGCAAGTTCTCCTCACTGGACACCAGAGGCACCAATCAATAGGAAAATGTCGACCAGCCACCTCCAACAATGGTTTTCTCTCGGCTCTAGATGTGTCAGGAACTACCCTGGGAGCTGAGGTGATACGATAAGGTTGCAAGACTGTGTTGTCAAACCCACTGATCGTCCTGATCTTCTTTCTTGCGTAATGAATCAAAAAGCAGGGTGGGATCAATCAGAAGATTTTCATTGCCTCATTTGCCTACGCGCTACATCACCGTTACTCAATCCAATCTGCCGTCTCTTTTATACACAGTAAAATTAGGCTCTCATCAATGTCTCAGCAAGGTGGTATTTAGATTACATACAAAACTCGTATTGAAATCGTTGAGCAGAATACTTATAGTACAGTAGTACTCCATAGTCACAATGATTTAGCGCTATAGGTACACTAACTGACCTTTTCGCTCATCCGCCATCATCCCATTGGTCACGGGAAGACAAAATCCTGATGTCTTGATATCACGTCCAATTGGCAAGTCGGGGAATCTGCCGAATCTTCAAGTTATTCATAGGCAGGCAGCAACCTCGCCTTGTTTTATGCTGGCGGAGACTGCACTGGTTAGTAAATTTTTGCTCGGACATAAAGCAATCAGCGTAAATATATAAATTGCACCACATGACTTTTTTCTTACCCTATTTCACATTCTAGGCACCCAATTTCCCCAATAGACCCCCTATTTATTTAGAAGGAAATGACTCCCGCAATCTCAGGCTTATGTCAGGATATACATAATAGTTATCATTGTCAAGAATCATTTCCAAGAGGGCGCCCAATGGAGGGATCCATGACGATCTTCAAATTACATTTTGCAGTGGGTCATCACAGTGGGGGATGGCGCCTACTTTAATTCTGATTAACTCGGATCGAAAAGAAATCAACCCCATGCAAGGAGGTTAGCTTTTAAAATTCCAGAATCGCGTAGCGCCATCACCGCAAAACTCGGGATAGCTTTAGGGCTTGTTGTCTAGTATCTCTCCTTAGTTGGAATGTTGCAAGATAGTCGTATCGGAAATAAGACATTATGAATATGATTTTGTTTACCTATCGAAGTATCACTAAGTCCAAATATATCGAATTAATCGGTGTTAGAAATAAGGCGATTGCATTGAATAGTGGCGATATACCAATATGTCGGTAATAATCAAATTAAATAGTTTATTTACAAGGCATGCTGGGTTTCTTTGTAGCGGCATGAATATCGTATTCTATCTTCTTTGCGATGGCATCATATATATTTTGATAGCAAGTTATATATCGGATTGTGTCCTCGTCGGAGTTGAAATCTTGATCCTAAGGGGTGCCCACTTGGGCGGCAAGGCATCTTACCCTACATAATGAAACTCAGACATTGATTAGGGCTTCTCTGACAGTCCCAAGTCATCTGTCAATTCTTAGCTTCACTTAACTTCAACATGCATACGTTCAACTTAGGATACTATAGCCAGGACTGCGAAACACTATTCAGCAGTGTCCTCACTTCTCGCTGATTTCCGCTATGCCTTTCCTGGACCATAATCAGTCTGGTATCATTCACCTACTGCCACAAGCGCTGATAAAACTCTTTACATCCCAACCTATCCCCCCTTCCTCAAAACTAGAATAGCAGGGGAGTCGACGATTTTCCAACATCCAACGTGCTCTACAATATGACCCTCACAAGGGATGTAATGACCCTCAGACATACAGGCACTGTGATCCGCAGCCTTCAAACAAGCCTTAAACTAGTATATTATATGGCATACTACCCCCATGTCCTCGCTGTGTACATATACGATGAGCCCTGTAGTTACAGGCCCAGACTCAACACTGTCACAACACTGTCAGCATTCATTAAGCGAAAATTGAAGGGCCTCCGTTCCAGACAATTCCTTTATATGTGCCCAGCAATGACTGTTCCAGCCTGTTGCTCTTCATGTAGCACACTATACCGACAGAGTCAGGCGTGACGGAAGATCTAGGCATAGCATATTTTATTCGAGCGAAAACTGGTGTAACCGAGTGACATGATGGCTTCTGTAAATGTGTCACAGCACCATGGTCCCGTAGTAGGTATAAGGCTAGACCAATCCTCAGATGATGTCTTTGGTCGAATGGTATATCCCAAAGCAAGTTTTTGTCCAAGGCCATGGGTCATGTAGTAAACAAATGAAGAAAAGGTAGATGTTAAATTGTATGTTCCCTTTTAGAAGTATATTAAGTGTAAACTGGACTTGAAGGAGAAGCATGCTTTATACAAGTCTGCTGGCTGTTAGTGTATTTCTTGATCTATGCTCAGGGACCCTGTTGTACGTAGTGCTGTTTTTGTTGTTCAAGAGCTGAGAACTACGAGTATGCCTCTGACCTAATATATTATTGTGGACTTCACGATGATATATCTTACCCCAAGAGGTTATACCAACAAGATGTGTCCTAACAGGTCAGTTCGGCAACTGCCCAAAACTCACATGTTAATTGTATATGCAGGACATGGTAGAAATGACGTAAGTTACGGTGTCCATAATTGACGTATGAGTCTTGAAAACTAAGGCTCGATCTACAAATCATCATAGTGTACGGGTACAGCAACAAACCCTAGGATTTGCAAAATAAGGTCACAGCGATCAACGTCATATGAATTTGAGCCAATGTCGCATGCGGGCTCGTCTAGACTGGGCTTCATTTTCAACATTGCGAGCATCGGGAAAGGTTTATCGCTCCAAGTGGCTGCTGCTTGCCTATTTCGTCCTCCTTGTCCAACCTGGACTTCTATTCGAATAGGACCCGCCTAACGTCCGAATGTGAAATTGAATCATCATGCTGAAATGGTATATTGATTGGTGTGATGTGCGCCGAGTTGTGGAGAAGCCATGGTGTCAGAGAAGACACATGATGCTCGCCGGTATTGCAAACGGGTCAAGCGTTTCTAATGCCTAGTAACTGACAAATATCCATGCTGTAAAGAAGACATAAAAAGTTCTTTTTATTTTAATTCGTAGGGCTGGTCGGCCCTGCCTCTCCCACGAACATTATCAACCCGCCAACTCCATCTCAACATTGGCTCATACCGTCGACTCCTTGCCCGACTGTCTGCGCGAAGATTCCGGAGTGCCAACTAACACATAATAAAAGCGAGTCATCTAGATGTTGGAGGGGTAGAGCATGACGCGGACAGTAGCGCCGAAGGACTTGGGGGGGAGGTTGTGGCGGAACTGAGCACGGACAACGCCGGAGTTGCCTGTCGTATTCTATTGTCAGTCCTGCACTTCACTGCATTTTTCACTACCATGGCTTGAGTTCCTTGCGCCATATAGCCCTGTTTCACATACCGTGAGGACGAGTAACCTTGCCCCAGATCACCCGGATGTTGGAACCCCGAACCTCGCGCTTAGCCCGGTAGACGAAAGCGACCTTCTTGCCGAGGTAGAAGTTGGCAGCCTCGGTGTTGTCAACACCGTCGATCTTGATCAGACTATATCACCGATGTCAGATTCCATGTCCCAAACTTCCTTTCGATATCAGATGCGGATCGGTACCTGGTGTTGGGGTTGACCTGGCGCTTGGAGCGCTGGTAGCTCAGGTGACGTCCCCTAAAGAACAATTCGTATTAATCCTCTGTTCTGATCATCTGTCGCGTTCCCATCCATCTTTTATCGTCCTCCCAGTCGATTTTTGATAGACATATATCATTTCCGGATACGCGCAGCACGAAGTAGTTGTGGTAACTTACTTGACGTAGACTATGATTCAGAAACAGTCATGTTAGCATATCGTCTCCAACCGAGCTTCACGGAGTATCCTCCAAGTTTATATCCGACTCCAAGTGAACCCGTTGTCGCACACCCCATAACCATAACCATAACCATAACCGAAACCATAACATTCAACAATTCCAGAGGTGTACTCACGTCTGTGACCGTGTTCCGAAGGCATTCTGACGGCGGTTCTGAGCAACAGCGGGCAACGCAAACAAGTCGAGGAAATGACCCGCAAAAATGTCGTTCGGGTTGTCGTGGTTGTCGTCGCTTCGTAGGTATGAGACGGCGTTCACAATTTGCGAGGGTGTGTTCGGTGCGACTCGCCCTAACCCGTTTCGGGACGCTTAGCGAGCTGACTGGTCACCTGTGGTCGACCCCAGCCAGGGCTAGCCAAATCCCGTGATGGAGCATGGGTAAACTCCGCTAAGCCTAGTTTGGCTCCCGCGGAGAAAATGATCTTCCTGTCCCCGAGATAAGCACTGACTCTAAATTCCTGCTGCAAGTCTCCACCGCATCGTTGCCTTTTTTGCCGTCGGGCTACTGTAGTCCGAGGCCGGTTCGGGCGGCTATTCTAACGGCATGGAGCCTGTGTCCAGGATGCACCCCGCTGACAAACCGTGTTCAAGAGTCACAGTAGACTGATTATTCAATGACGACAAAGGCCCCATCGCCCCTGCAGAGGGATCAGGTGCTGCTGTTACCTCTTGGGCTTCCGCTTTCACTTCGTCAAATAGGAGACCTCAGTGCATACATATAAAGTAAGAGCCGTATTCTGGGTGCATATAGGGGCATTGGGGGTTTGGTTCACCATTGCAGTGGTGCTCATCCATGATCCAGTGGTGCAGTATGTACTCCATCTGGGATGTACTCCGCTACGGAGTTTATAACTAAAGACGGCGCCCTTACAGAGTGATCATACCGGGAGCACATATTTGGAAATACAGCGAGTTCCGCCCCACAGGCAATCGGCAGCGACCTTTATATGATGTTTTACTCTGACAATACCCGCTTGTATCCTGGTAGCACCGTAGAAGTTTAAAAAGAACTGAGGGAAATGAAAAGAAAAGAGTGAAGTAATTAGGAGCTCACTTCTACAGTACATCTACTACCGAGAGACAACAACCCGAGTCGCTATCAAATTCAAAAACCGACTCGGTACAATCGTGAGGCTAGGTTCGGCGTTAAAGCAGCCGAGTCGGTCTGATTACATTGTTATCCAGACTTCCTTTAAACTTACGGGAAAATAGAATCCGTAATAATTGACTGGCAGTTATCGACTTTGGATGACAAATCCGCCGATCTATCTCCACGAGTACGGTCACCGGGAGTGGTTTCTAGGAGCACGCAGTTCCGGCTACCCTAGCCTTCCTCACAGCATCTGGCGCGATCGATGCAATAGGCCGACCAGTATGTACATACCTTGTAATACAGTGGAGTCCGAAATCGCTCTTTGTGTACTGTAATCGGAGGGATACTCCCTAGTCTATATATTAAATTAAACTATACGAGGGGCAGACTCAATTGTTAAGGTGAATTGAAGATGAAAACAACAAAGTGACGGTAAGTAAGGGCTTAGAATACTATTCAGTCAAGCTGTCGTTGTAACCCTAATTCCAGCATGCGCCCTCCGTAGAGAGTTAGTAATTCAGATTGAAGAGGTTTATCCTCCTAGATTTAGCAAGGAAAAATTTACTTGAGATGCCTTACTCTTCTTTCACATCTATAACGCAGTTATCCCAATTCAGGTGATATGCATATTACTTGAGAATAAGCGGTTGTGAAACATAAGATTACCAGCCAGCTGATAGATCGCGCGGGGTCAGCAACATCCAACAGTTGCCTTGGATATGGAAAGAGTGGTACTCAGTGGATCTGAATTTTCCGGTAGATTTAGCCCAGTCCATCTTCGGATAATTTCAGGGATTACTATGATCTGATATTTTGACGGTAATACAAAATTTACAGACATGCTCTACAGGTACGGTGGTTGTAGTTACTACTATAGGTAGTGCAGTAGGGCCTGGTGACTAGTTCAACTGTCACGTATGAAAATGGAAACTATGATATAAGAGGAGAGAGAGATTGCCACGACCGATGGGACCTGAGGATTCGCTAGGAAATTCATCGTAATATGATAAGCCAGGAAGAACATGATCTTCTAGAAAGTCTAGAAGAATGTTAAATTTATAATACGGAGTGCAGGATTTGAATTCAAAAGTAAAATCATATGTAGAGGGTACATACTATGATACAAAGGGGTGGAATAACAAAGAAATTAAAAATAAAAAAGGCAAGGGAAAAAAAAAAGGAGAAAGATCATGATAATAGAATTAAATAATAATACCATAATACCAGAGGTAATACATGAAAGAGTGAGAGCCCCGCGGCAAATTATATGGACGGAGGTGGAAAAGAAGGCCTCGTGCCCCACCATCGTAATGCTGCTGCAGCTCTAAGCAGCCCTCTCACGGCGTTAAAAAAGTACACTGCTCCGCCGGAACTGTTGGGGATTTTTCCAACAAACCTCTTCTCTATTTCTGACTCCCCTTTATTTTCCCCCCCCTCTCCTCTCGAATTTAGACCTCTTTCTCCTTTCCTACATTCCTTTCACCCCATTGCGACCCGATCTCCTATTCATAACATCATGGCCAGCACAATAGCACGTTCTGAGGAGCGCCAGAACGCCGGGTGAGTGTTGACCACATCCTGTCTTCCTCTGACATCACACCCCTCCCTCAACTGTTCCGCCCACTTCGTTCAACCTTTCAAACCCGCCATGACAACGCGCGCTCGAAGCATTTCAATCTAGAATTGATCCCCATCAATTATATGTATTATTTAGAATTCGACCTCTAGACTACACTTGTTTTTTTGACTCTATTTTATCTTTTGCAAATTATCCTTCTAGCACAGACAGACCCCCATTGATCGACATACATCATTCACCATCCCTGCTCTGCAAGTGCCTCTAATTCGCTGCTAACATGGATATTTCGCTTAGCACCATCGAGCTTAAAGATGACACTGCCATTGTAGTACTTGGTGCGTCGGGAGATCTCGCGAAGAAGAAGACGGTGGGTGATCCTGCAGAGCTTGTTACAAGAAATCGATCGGAAGCTAATGTCCCTCATAGTTCCCGGCACTTTTCGGCCTTGTATGTACCTGCGGCCTAGACCTCCAATGAGGGGTTAAGTAACCTGGTTTCCCTGGCTGACCCTGCATCTAGTACCGTAACAAGTTCCTTCCCAAAGGAATTAAGATTGTCGGCTATGCCCGGACAAAAATGGACCAAGAAGAATATCTGAGACGTGTGCGGTCGTATATCAAGACCCCCACTAAGGAAATTGAGGAGCAGCTGGATAGCTTCTGCCAACTTTGCTCCTACGTCTCGGGTCAGTACGACAAGGATGAGTCTTTCCAGGACCTCACAAGGCACCTCGAGGATGTCGAGAAGGGTCAGAAGGAGCAGAACCGTGTCTTCTACATGGCTCTTCCCCCCAGCGTCTTTACTACCGTGTCGGATCAATTAAAGAGAAACTGCTACCCTAAGAACGGCATCGCTCGTATCATCGTGAGTCGCTCCTGATACCGCCTTCTTCAGCAAAAACGGTTGCTCATGTGTGTTTCATTCGTTATAGGTCGAGAAGCCATTCGGCAAGGACCTTCAGAGCTCTCGTGATCTCCAGAAGGCGCTCGACCCCAACTGGAAGGAAGAGGAGATCTTCCGTATTGACCACTACCTGGGAAAGGAGATGGTCAAGAACATCCTTATCATGCGCTTCGGCAACGAATTCTTCAACGCCACCTGGAACCGTCATCACATCGATAATGTGCAGGTATGGATCGAATAGTTGCTCAGTTTGGTCTGGTTATTCACTAAATGACTTCCTTGCTCCAGATTACATTTAAGGAGCCCTTCGGCACTGAGGGCCGTGGGGGCTACTTTGACGAGTTCGGTATCATTCGTGACGTTATGCAGAACCGTATGTAACACGTTTGTTTCCACAGTCTAGCAAGAAAGCTGACTTCTTTGCTGCAGACTTGTTGCAGGTGTTGACTTTGCTCGCTATGGAGCGCCCCATCTCATTTTCCGCCGAGGATATTCGTGACGAGAAGGTAACGATTTTTTCAACCCAACCACCCCACTTTCTGATATTGATGCATTACTAGGTGCGTGTTCTGCGCGCAATGGACGCGATTGAGCCCAAGAACGTCATCATCGGTCAGTATGGAAAGTCTTTGGATGGAAGCAAGCCCGCATACAAGGAGGACGAGACCGTCCCTCAGGATTCTCGCTGCCCCACTTTCTGCGCATTGGTCGCATACATCAAGAACGAGAGGTGGGACGGTGTTCCTTTCATCATGAAGGCCGGCAAAGGTACATTCTATCCCCTGCACCTCCTGTGTTGCTCGCATGCTTACTGTCCCCAGCCCTGAACGAGCAGAAGACCGAGATCCGTATCCAGTTCCGCGATGTGACTTCTGGCATCTTCAAGGACATTCCTCGCAACGAGCTCGTCATCCGTGTTCAGCCCAACGAGTCCGTGTACATTAAGATGAACTCGAAGCTTCCTGGCCTATCCATGCAGACTGTCGTGACCGAGCTTGACCTCACCTACCGCCGTCGCTTCTCCGACCTTAAGATTCCCGAAGCTTATGAGTCTTTGATCCTGGATGCCCTGAAGGGCGATCACTCAAACTTCGTTCGTGATGACGAGCTTGACGCCAGCTGGAGGATTTTCACACCTCTCCTGCACTACCTTGATGATAACAAGGAGATCATCCCTATGGAATACCCCTACGGTATGTTCTAGATCTGTGTTGCATATGTTATGCGAATTTCTGTGACTAACTGTGGACTAGGCTCTCGTGGACCTGCCGTTCTCGACGATTTCACTGCTTCGTTCGGTTACAAGTTCAGCGATGCTGCTGGTTATCAGTGGCCCTTGACTTCCACCCCCAACCGTCTGTAGACGGGGAAGGCTTATGAGGCTAACGAAAGTGTAAAAAGGACAAAAAAGGGGCAAAGATATTAATGCAGCATGACCGACTTTGTTTTTATTGTTATGGTATGTTTGGGAATTTCGGTTTGAGTAGGCGGTTTTTGTTAAACAATCGGTGGGCCGGCAATGACGGAGTAAATCCATTTTTACCACCAAACTCTAGAAACGAATCAAGTGAATATTACGAATATCACGAAAGATGCACAGAGCTCGCGCGGTTCTCGAGGAAAAGAGGCCAAGCCAATTTTAGGGCTTGGCGGAGGGAACAAGGAGATATAACAATAATACCCCTGGATCCCTGTAGGTGAGTTTAATTAGTATTACGTACGAGTTAGTCGTCTTGTAGAATGTCGATGTTCATTAGAGAGTTCGTGATCAGCTATTTATAAACCACCCTTCCAGGTCCCTTGTGGGTCTGGTAAGATTAAATTTCATAGACTGCTGCCGATAAGATTGATTGAATTCTGCCCTGACGTTCCCGGGGGCCCGCATGCGTCTGTTGGTCTGGGTCCCGCCCGTGACTTTCCTCTTCCTTTTCTTTCTTTCGTCCCCTCTTCCCCTTGTTGCTTCGATTTTCTCCAGGCGTTCTTTGCCTTTATATGCCATTGACCCTCATATCGGATTACTTCACAGTATAGAGCACCGCTTACGCGCTTCTGTCCATCGGTCTTCGAGGTTTCCACGATATTGTTCCCGACCATTGGATCTGCGCTGCATCATCCTATGCTATTTTTATCACAGACACACGCTCGACGAGCGCAAACCCCTCCAACCTCTACCGTCGGCTGTTGATTACCGTCGAGTTCAAGCTCACCGAAGCCCGTGTGCGTCATATTTGCCATCCAGACGTTTATTTTTCCCGATATAATCGAGAAATTGTCGAACGTGCGGTTGCCTGATCGCAGGCACGAGACCAGTTTGACCTAGTCCAATTCATGGAAAATTGAGGTTTTCGAAGAGCGTCAATTGCATGCAAGCATCCAACGATATAACTAAGGATGCCACAAGCTGCAAGGTGGGTGGGTTCGCCCTCAATTAAGGGACGAACAGAGGCAATGCGGATGGCACTCTTGACGTTTAGTCTGTTAGGATTACAGTACGTTAACCACCGTTGTCGGTATCTACACTATCTGTGACGAGCATGGTTCGCTAATATATCTACGGCGCAGATTTACTTGGGGCATTGAAATGACCTGTAAGACCTTTCCTTCTCCGCCGCCCAACCATCCTCTAATCAGACCAACCCGACATAGACTGCACTCCGTATCTTCTCCAGCTCGGTCTCACTAAATCCCGAACGTCGCTCGTCTGGATCGCTGGTCCTTTGTCCGGGTTAATTATCCAGCCTCTCATCGGCGTTATTGCAGATCGGTCACGATCGAAATGGGGAAGGCGAAGGCCATTCATGATTATAGGCTCATTGATTGTCGCGATGTGTTTGCTAGTATTAGGATGGACCGCAGAGATTGTCGGCCTTTTTGTCAAGGATGCAGAGAAGGTAAACCGAGAAGTGTGTCGAGGTTTAGGCAAGAGCTCACATGTGGATTATCTTCTAGGCCAACAGAGTTACCATTGCGCTAGCGGTCCTTAGCATTTATGCCGTGGATTTTGCCATCAATATCGGTGGGTGTGAGGTACCAAGGAATTCTCAAGTTCGATCTAACATCGTCCAGTACAAGCGTGTTGCCGGAGCTTGATAGTTGATACGTTGCCTATTCCATCACAGCAGGCTGGGTCAGCATGGGGTATGTTTTATACCCATTGCCGAATGTGAATTACAGACCTAACATCCCAAAGCCACTAGAATGTCGGCCATTGGCCAGCTCATTAGTTATGTCATCGGATCAATCGATACAGTTAGCATTTTTGGCACCACCATTGGCGATACTCAATTTAAGCAAATGACAGTTATCGCTGCGCTATCCTTACTCATCGCTGTTCTGGTTACTTGTTATGCGGTGAAGGAGAGAGTGTTGATTACTGCTAGGTGAGTAGATGACCGAGGATATGCCCCATGTGCGGTTCGTTGACTTGTGACGGCGACAGAGACTCCGAAGGGAAGGCCGGGGCTTTCCAGGTCATGTCTCAACTATTCCAAACTACAATGGACTTGCCTCCTCGCATCCAAGCCATCTGCTGGGCTCAGTTTTGGGCATGGATTGGTAAAGACTCCATTGTTAAATCTTTGGTACAACCCTCGCTAATTATACTAGGCTGGTTTCCGTTTCTTTTCTATAGTACCACCTGGGTTGGTGAGACATATTTCCGTTATGAGGTTCCAAAGGATGCGACGCACCCGACCGACATGCTTGGAGAGGTTGGCCGAGTTGGCAGTTTGTCACTGGTCGTCTTTTCGTCCATAACATTCTTCAGCTCTGTTCTGTTGCCATTCTGCGTACAGCCTCCAGATAACGTGAGGCCTAGATTCACCCCACGGCCTCCTCCAGGGGTTGCCGCCTTGCTTAAGAAGATCACTTTGATACGCCCGGACTTGCAGACGACCTGGTTGATTTCACATTTGATGTTTGCAGCCACTATGATCTTCGCACCTTTGGCCCGGTCCCGGGCCTTTGCAACTTTCCTAGTGGCCTTGTGTGGAATTCCATGGGCTGTCAGCAGCTGGGCCCCTTTCGCCTTCATGGGCGTGGAGATAAATAAGCTAGCACTAGGCCCAACTCAAGCATCGCGTCTGTCTGGTGTCACTATGATTACATCTTCCAGTATCCGTTCTGGGGCCTACGGCGATAGAAACGGAGATACGGAGATGGACGTGCTGCGTCTCAACCACAACGACACGGACAGCGATAGTGACACAGAGGGTGGCACCTCCGATTTACCATCAACAGGTGAATTGGCTGGCATTTACCTAGGCGTGCTGAATGTGTATACGACACTGCCACAATTTGTCGGCACATTTATTAGCTGGATAGTCTTCAGCGTTATTGAGCCAGGTAGCACAAAGCGAGATGCCACAGAGACGCAATGGATAAACCTCGATAAGGGTTCGCCCAATGCCATCTCGATCTGTCTGTTTATTGGCGCACTAAGTACGCTTGTGGCCATTGAAGCGACCCGACGATTACGCCACATTCGATAGTGATCGTGACTTTCTCTTCTACAGTATATCTATTCTACCACGATAAAAAGGGAGTCCACTTTAGACTCTCTGATATTATACTATCCGATACCCATGTTCATTCAGCGATGTATTATTTGTGAGTATATGGGATATGTCTGAAGTGGCATCTTTCAGCCACAGGCCAACCGAGCCTGCGCTGATGATTGATTGGCCTTCGCATATCTGAGGGATTTGTTCGCCACATACATATTGGCATATAACGGTATATATTATTGAGATAATGATAATTATAATGTACTATACGACAAGTTCCACAGACATAGGGGTATTTCATGAATATAATGAGTACTAAGATGTATAACTCCGATGGTATATTTTCTCGACTTAATTCTGTCTGCACCCAAGACAAACACAAACCACGAAAAGGAAACAGGCAGTCTAAGACATACAATCTCAAATTTCTCTATTAATCGGTAAGCTGGGGGATATGCTGACATCTAGTAACTACTACTAGCACCATTTGATCAATATCCCATCTTAGTGCCGGACAGGGATAAAAGAGGTCATAAAGGCTGTCAAGGGCTACGAAGTAAATTACATCGAGATGTGCTAAAATGGAGCTTGATTTATAGCAAGAGTCGGTTAAGGTATATTGGTAATTCATAGTGTGAAAAAGTAAATCAATAAACAAAAGACAACCAATAAACAGGAAGGGGAATAAAACGATAAGCTCAAAACAATCGAAAAGAAGGGGAATCGCCACAGTATGATTATCCATCCGTCGATGAACCAATGAATCAGGGATGATATTACAACAGAAACGTCCGTTCATGGCGTGCGTCCGTCATCCTTCGCTATAAGAGCTTGATTCTTGTCATGTGAATAGGGATTTTATGGCGGCCAAGCCCAAACACGGGGAATCAAAAGAAAATAGAACCCGCAACAGATATGGAAAAATGCCAAGGCCATATAGAGATTAAACAGGCGGTACAAGGTATATGAATCAGATGCTGTGAGTCAAAAGACGAAAGAGAAAACAACTGGTACTCAAGGATAAATGAAAGAATCGTCAATTAAGCCATTTTCCCGGTCAGTTCGGCTACCCGAGCCTTGATACGAGCCGCGCGAGCATCGAAGCCTTGATGATACAAGTTAGTACAATGGGCAACTACTATTATGGAGGCTTGAGATACTCACTTTCCTCTTCGCTTGTGTTGCCACCGTCATCTTCATTCATCCGCATATGCTCAAACTGGGCGGCTCTTTCGGCGGCGTTTTTGCGAATTTGTGCCCACCGGTCATGGGAAGGATTGGACTGAGATGGAGCGCTAACTTCGTCCTTGGCTTCAACTGGTGTGCTGTCGACGGATTTCTTCTCTGAGAAGGTATCGGACACAGGCGAGTCCTCAGGGACAAACGCCGGCTGCTCCGCCAAAGGCCCCTGATCAAATCTTGAAAACTCACTATCGGCAGCGGTGCGTTCGTTGGTATTCACGCGTGAAAGAGCATCATATTCGGCTTGCCGCTGGTTACTATGGTAGTCACTGTTTGATGCGGAGACATGGGGTTCTGGCTGCAGTCTTGCCTCTGGCTGAACCTTGGCCTCCAGCTGTTCAGGCTCCGGTGCTTCAGCAGCAGGCTTGGGAGTAGCTGGCACTTCGACAACAGGCTTGGGTGTTTCTGCGGCTGGTGTCCCCGGTACAGGCTTCTTCTTCAGGGTGGATGGACGGACAGTTTGTTCCTGAGATGCCTTTGCCTTATCCTCTAGGGCAGCGCGTGCAGCAGCGACAGCCGACCCACCAGCACCCGTAGACTTCATTGGCGGTGTTGATTCAGGTTCAGGCTTTCTCTTCGTTGTTCCAAACATACTCTTGATTCCCGGAGGAGTAGGCTTCTTCTTCAATTTCCCGGCCGAGTTCTCTGCCAACTCTGTGGACTTGCGAAGCTGCTCAGTGGTCAACCGTTCCACAGGAGCGCTGGAGCTGTCTTTCCGACCATTGGCGTCTCTGTCACTAGTAAAGCTATCCTTCTGAGGAATTGCGGGCGCTGGAGAGCTACGAACGTCGTCCTTCGGTAGAGGCGGGGGAGCCTGTCGGGTACTGGTACTGAGGGCTGGAGACAAAGGTGGGCTAAGATTATCCCTGGAGGCCTCCTTTGGTTCATCCACTGGAGCACCGGTTCCTGCAAGGCTATTCTCCATATAAGCGGCTTTGTAGGCATCCTTGCCCTTGTCGTAGTTACTGGCCCATTTCATAGCATGCGATGCTTCGTTCAGAATGGCCGGCTGCAGTGTCATAACAGAATTGGTCTTTGAGTAAGTGGTATCCCGAACATTCCTTCTGGTTTCTCCGGATGCGGCCCGTTCTTGCTCCCGATGCTTTCTTTGAAGGGCAGCGGCTGCAGCCTGAATACGGGCATGCTGGTCAGGACCGATGCTGGTCTTACTTTGCGGCCCTTGGTTCTCAGGCCGCTTGTAAGACTCCTCTACCGCGCTAACTTTTTTGGCCGTGGACTTGCGGCGCCCGAGTCGCTTTCGCGTCGAGAACCCGAAGAAACTCTTCTTCTCGACGATATAAGCACCAGGTTCGGGCTCCGGTGCCGCGCCTTTAACTTGCTCCTCTAAAACAAGCCACTTCGTATTCTTGATGACAGTCTCGAGCAATGCACATCGCCCAAATACCGCCTTTCGAGAAGCTGGTTCCTCCCCTGCCAAACTGCTAATCCACACCCACCAGAATGAGTCATCAAGATCAAGGTTGGTGATACTAGCCAATTCACCAGGGTCAACGGACGGCTCAGCATCCAAAGTACGCTTATGAGACTGCGAACTTTGGCCTCGAATAGTATCGATGGGAGGCAGGACCTTATCAGGAGGGAGCAACACTGGCGCCACTGGAGCTTTGAAGACGTTGTCATCACTGAAACCGGAAGACATAAAGTCTGCCCACGAGGGGGTTGTTGGACGGCCGAGATCGCCTCCACCAGACTGAGGAGCAGACCTCAGACCGCCACCGAACTCCTTTGACACCATGCTCGACGTTCTGTCATCGTCAACATCGGCGTCCAGCGTGGCCCCGAATCCAAGATCTTCAAACCTGGACCACGATGCTTCTCTGGTCGTAGAAGTTGGATCCGATTCAACCGCTTGATTTGTAGACGATATGCATTTCAGTACACGGAGACACTCATCCGTAAGCGCTCGGAGGGGATCTTCAAAACTAGCAAATTCTTGAAGGTGACTATCGCTGTCTCGATACTCGAAATTCTTTGCACGGCGTAGAAGAGCAAAGGGAGTGGCAGACACAGTGTCGACAATCATGACAACTTTGGTGGTGGAGACTTGAAGAAGCGCTGGTGTCTCTGGCGGGTATTCTGTGGCTTGAAGCAATGTTTGGAGAGCAATGGGTAGGGTAGAGATACTGCTCATCCCGCGCGGCGAGTCAGGGGACAACGAACGCAGGTACGCGAAGAACAAGTGGCTTGTCGCATCCGCGGCGCTAGAAGGAGTCAACTAGCTATTAATAATCGTTCGGCGTAAGTACTACATACCTTGCCCAATTCTTGTACGCAGCTTCAAACCCATTGCCGGTGTCTGTATGTCCAAATGCCCACCACCCGGCATACCGAGAGAGCTTTCGTCCTCCGAGGCCGTTGGACTTTCCATGCGCCGCAATCGCGGTTAAAAGATCGAAGAAGTCGAAAATGATCTTAGACCTGGCATCGGAGTCCACGCTAATGGGGATGAACGTTGAAAATGCATCGCGGGCAAGCTGAGAATCTGTGGTCGTATAAGTATACACCACCACTTTGCGTCGGAGACATCTCGATACGAACCTTGTTCGCCAACTTTAAACAATTCGTAGGCCTCCCATGTGACAACTCCTCCAGGAAGTCTGCTCCAGCACCACTTTAGCACACTGCAAAGGACCTGAAGTATCCGTGTAAGCGGAGACAATAAATATAAAACTAATTGAGCCCGTTGCACAAGGGGTTTCCAGGGTGGCTTACAATTGGGTCCGTCAATCGTAGCTCTCGCGCCAAGGCATCTCCTTTGGGAGGGGAGCCTTTCTCCACGGCTTGATTGAAGTAGTTGCGGATGAATGTACGTGCAGCGCTGGCGTCGGAGGCTGGCCGGAAGGGTAATAATAGGAAAGGTGTTTGGAGACCTGTTGAGGAGAAAGCGTGGCAATGATCAGCAACTTGAAGAATGCGCCTATCGCAAATTGTCGACGGAGGGGGCATTGACGTCAGGGGGCCCATAAAATAAGAAAACAAAAAAAAAAAACCGAAACCTACCTCGGGCTTTCAACTCTTGCGTACAACCTCGCAGGAGATCCTGGACTTCTTCCGGAGACACTTCAGTTCGCTGCCACGCATCGGTCCATTTTGGCTTGGGAGGACCAATATCTTCAACCACAGGGGCTTTTGTCTTTTTGGGAGCTTGGGAGTCCTTGATTCGAAAGACGCGGGCGAGGAACGGCATTTTCACCTTGCGCTTCTTCGACTCCTGAATTGAGAGGTGCGACTAACTATTAAGTTGGGGAAGTCGACCTTCTAAGGCGCGGTCAAGAAGTGGCGTCTTAAGACAAGTCGATTAGCGAACCTAACGAGGAAGACTTCACGATTCCACGCTCGACCGTGCGACTAGGCAACCAGTTGTAGATTAATAGGAGAAAAGCGGTATAAATAACAGGTCGCGGGGGAAAAAAAGCGTAGAACCAAAAGGGTAAGACTTGGTAAGTTGATTCAATAAATTGGAGTCTAAGAAAGGACAAAAAGAGAAGGAAAGAAAAAAAAAATTTAGACAAGAAGCGAAAAATGAAATAAAATGAGATCAAAAGAAAAAAGATCAATCGAATAAGTAGGAGGACATCCAGGTGGCCAGAGAATCGCCTGCAGCCCAGACGGGGCAGCACGTCTAGCGTGCAGCGATAGTATTGTACTACTGGCAATAAGGCCACAATCGACCTGCAGAGAATTTAGGAAATTGGATAACGAGCGCAATCTCCACGTTTTTTAAGCTTGGAATGTGGAGCTGGTAAAACCAACGAGCAGAATCAATTATGCGACCAAACGGAGTAAAACAAAAATTGATGACAGAGAAGAAAAGGAAGGTATAATTAATGTGAGGAAAAGAAGAAGAGGGAGAAGAAGGAAAAGGAGAAAAAGCGACGAGGTAGAGAAGTTGATTGGAAGGACTTTCAACGATGAGGATCTACTATGTTGCTCGTTTCAGGGGTGAAATAACATTACCTCCCCGAACCCTCTCGCTCTATCCATGGTTCAGTGGCCCTCCATCGACGCCAATTTATTGGTTTGGAATCCAAGAGGACAAGAACGAACGCTGGTTCATTCATTGTTCATGATCCGCTACCCAAGACATTTTGTTTTTTTTTTTTTTTTTTTTTTACCTTAGAAACCCTACCCAGAAAAGGAACGAGGAAGTTCGACCGTGGTTTTGAGGATCTGGAAGAAGTGGTAGTATGATTTTAATTAACTCCTCCCCTCCTTCTTGAAACCTGATGGTCAGGATGATGACATGCTAAAATTTAAGGTATTAGTCTCAAGTAAAAAGAGGTTAGGCAGAATACCGTATGATACCATGGAGATACAATAGGTACTAGTAGTCAGTAGTAACCTCCTTCGTACCCAACAGAGGATTTGCGTCCATGTAGGTCGCTCCAGTTAGGTAGAATTCATGATGTCGATTAGGTATGGGGTAGATATGTAACCAATCAATCAACTATATCCGTGGATGTACACTGCATATGTACGTTTAGTAGGGGCGCATGACTCGACTCGGTTGTAGTAGTATGACAACTGTTCCCTGCTTATCAACGTCGCCGACATACGTCCGACGTATCTCATAGGAAGAAAAATAAATAAACGAAAAAAATATTTAAATTTTAAAATAATATCACCCAATTATTAGTCTGATGTCGATGCCTGGTTTTCTGCCTTTGACATAAGAACATGCCAGGCGACAGATCAAATTCCTGAGTA